CGCCTGATTCATCAAAACTACGATACACCCGTCACGTGCGAGAAGTTCATCCAGAAGATGTCTACGGAGTCGGCGAATTTTCGTGAGTTCGATCCATCCACTGAGCGATGGCCCGCCTGGGTCAGTCGATTAAATAACCACCTGATGCTGAATAAGAAGACTACGAATGAGGAGAAGAAGTACGCGGTGTTGGCGTACATGGGCGCCGACACATATACGAAGTTGTTCGACAGGATTTCACCGGAACAGGATCCGAACGACCTTACGTTCGACGAGATCGTTACGAAGGTGAAGGATTTCACCCAACCCGATGCCAATAAATGGGCAGCACGGATCGCGTTTCGGAAACTCGTCCAAACGTCCGGTGAGCCATTACTCGATTTTGAAAGCCGTCTTCGGAAAATGTCGATCGACTGCAATTGGCCCGATACAGAGAAACAGCTAAGCCTTATAGAGCAGTTTATCGCCGGGCTGACCGATTGACATACGAAACAAGCTTTAATGGTCAAATGCAAGGACAAAACGAAGTTCTCGGAAGTGTTCGCGTGCGCCGACGAAATACGAAAAGCCCAAAAGGCAACGTCATCCACTCAACCCACATCGAACCCTGACGTCGAAGTCAACGCACTCCGAATGCAACAGAAACGACGATTTCCGGCAAGGAATCAAGCACCTCGACAAACTGCTTCAAGTTCATTAAAATGCTACCGATGCGGCAACCCCAACCACTTAGCTCCGAAGTGCCCGCATATCAACTCACGATGCGACACCTGCGGAGTAGTGGGCCACTTAGCATCGGCGTGCAGGAAGAAAAGATTCCAGCAGAACTTCCTCGAAGAGTGTCCGGCGAACTTCATGACTACAGCTGTGGATCGAGACCCAATCATAATGCAAGTACGTATCCACGGAAAGCGAATTGATATGGAACTGGACACAGGCTGTGCTCTATCCACAATGCCGTACTACAAATTCGTCAAGAAGTTCCCGAATCATCAACTACAAGAAAACGACGTCCGGTTAAGATCTCCATCCGGGGAGATCATTACTCCAACAGCATTCGCATCAGTCGAAGTCGAGTTCAACGAGAACATTCAGAACCTGCGTATCTATCTCGTGAATCAACCAGATTTCCCAACCCTGTTCGGAAGAATATGGATGAAAGCGTTCCAGATCAAACCGATGATTCACGAGGCATGCAACTACAACGAAACTGAAAACATCGACAATCGGATTCAAGAGCTACTACAGAAATTCCCCAACCTTACGAAAGACGGAATCGGCAAAATACCGAGCACCGAAATGAAACTCCATTTCAGCGCACCTAACCCGACACCAGTCTATCATCGACCGCGTCCGGTCGCTCACGCCTTGCTAGCGCTCGTCGACAAAGAACTCGAGCATCTCGAGAAGTCTGGCGTAATCAAGCGCGTTCAAGTAAGCGACTGGGCACATCCAATAGTGGTCGTTCCCCGTGCAGCTGGTAAGAAAGTTCGAATTTGCGCCGATTTCAAGGTTGGACTCAATCGATTCTTGAAATTAGAAGATCATCCTTTGAAATGCATCCGGCAAGCGCTGGATAATCTCGGAACGGGACGCAAATTCTCTAAACTTGACATATCGTCGGCATTTCTCCACATGCCAGTCAGAGAACAGGATCAAAAATTTCTAACGGTCAACACCCATCGAGGGTTATTCCAGTTTACGAGAATGTCGAATGGATTGTCCAGTGCCGCCGCCGTCTGGCAAAGATACATCGAAGCAATACTCGCAGGCATCCCCGGAGTCGAAGTCGTCATCGATGATATCGTAGTAACAGCACCAACAGACGGCGAGCACCTTCAACGATTAGAAGAAGTCCTAAGGAAGCTCGATTCACAAGACATACGGCTCAACAAAGAGAAGTGCGAATTTTTCAAGGAGCAAATCCGTTTCTGCGGGTTTACGCTCAAGCACGGCGAGATTCACAAATGTGCTGAGAAAGTAGATGCCATTAGAAACGCTCCCGCACCATCTTCGATTACCGAATTGAAAGGATTCCTGGGAATGATTCAATTCTACGCACCGTTCGCAAAGCAATTAGCAGACATTGCGAATCCCCTATACGATGCGTTGAAAAGCGGTCGCGAAGCAAAATTCATCTGGACGCAGCGAATGAACGAGGCTTTATCGCGCTCAAGGCAGAACTGAGTTCGCCACGAGTACTGGTAGCGTTCGATCCAGCACGACCACTCGTGCTCGCGACCGATGCGTCACCGTATGGAATCTCAGCGATTCTATCGCATCGATACGAAGACAAGACAGAGAGGCCGATCGCGTACTATTCGAGAACGCTGACGCCCACCGAGAGACGCTACACGCAATTAGAGAAGGAAGCACTCGGTATCAAAGCCGGAATGGATAAGTTCTTCTACTATCTATTCGGCAGGCGCTTCTTACTGTTAACTGACAGCAAACCCTTGGTTTCGATATTTTCCCCATCAAAATCGTTACCCCCCCTCAGTGCAACAAGAATGCAAAATTACAGCATGTTCCTTACCGCGTTTCAGTACGACATCGAATACAGAAACACAACGCTGCATGGGAATGCTGACGCATTATCAAGGCTTCCCACGAAGAGCGAAGAGTTGACGTCGCTCCAAGACCAAGCCGAAGAGTGGTTAATCAATTACATTGCAGATGAAACACCGTTGAATCTAAAGAGAATAGCAGCAGAGAGCAAGAAATCCAAGTTTATCGTCTCGCTGCTAGCAGCAATGAACTCGGACAGAATCGGCTCTAACAAGTTCGCTACCATCGACGTCTCCGAATTCACGGTTCGTGGAGACGTACTCTTCAGAGGACACCGTGTTGTGATCCCTGAATCGTGTCAAAACGAGGTGTTAAAGGAGTTACACGAAGGACATTTCGGAGCAAAAAAGATGAAAGAACTTGCAAGACGACACGTATGGTGGAAAACCATCGACAGAGATATCGACACGAAGGCCAGCATATGTGAAATATGCCAGATGCACGCGAAGAATCCTGCGAGGTCGTACCACAGCTGGGAACCGGCGGAACACCCATTCGATCGAATACATCTCGACTTTGCGGGGCCAGTAGAAGGTCAGTACCTGTTGTTACTCGTTGATGCCAACTCAAAATGGTTAGAGATATCTGCAGCAAAAACGAAAACAACGGCAGACACGCTCAAGATGCTCCGCGAGGTATTCGCCAGGTTTGGACTCCCAAAAGTGATAGTATCGGACAACGACCCAACGTTCACATCGCTGTCATTCGAGACCTTCTGTCAAGAAAACGGAATCGTTCACAAAACTTCCCCACCATTCCACCCAGCTTCGAATGGTCAGATAGAAAGATACGTTCAGACAACAAAGAAAGCACTCCAAAAGTTAAAGGCCGAGGGGAGCGGAGAAAATCTCCATAGCATGATCCAGCGATTTCTGTTCCGGCAAAGACTGGTCAGCAGCGCCGCGACAAATCGCAGTCCGGCAGAGCTCATGATCGGGCGCCAACTCAGATCCAAATTGGACGTGATCAGTGAAGTGCCCGAAATCCCGAGGATCAGAGTGACCCCACAGTACCCGAATGGCAAGTTCGCCGTGGGCGATGAAGTCATCGCAAGGAACTACAGCGGATCTGCAAAATGGGCAACAGGAACGGTGATCAGAATCCTCGGAAGGAATACCTGCGTTGTAAAGGTACAGCGCGGAGAATGGAAGAGACATTTCAATCAGCTAAGAAAAAGACAAATCGCATCGCCTCCAAAGGGAACACTACAAGAAGAGCAAGACGCCGAAGGAGACGAAATTCCGTGGTACATATCGTCAGATTGCGAGCAGAATGGTAACGAGTCGCTCGTCTCTGAGGATTCGTTTCTATCGGCAGACAACTCAGCATCGGAACTCGAGACGTCCAGTATGCAGCAGCCAGCCATAGTAGGCGCATCGCCGCAGATAGTTAGTAATAGCACGCCGAGTTCCGAGGTAGTAATCGATGAGATGAGTGAAACAGTTGGCGATGAAGCTGTCGAGAGGTTGCGAGACCGTTCAGAAGAGCAAGTGTCGACTGACGCCACTAGACGTAGTTCAGCTAGAGTCAGAAGGGAACCCAATCGATATGGAGAATGGATAAATTAAGTGGCGCGTTGGAGATAAGAGAGGGAGAGTTGTTAGGCCCTATTCAATGTTCTGGCATGTTCACGCGCGCTTAAGAGGTACCCTAGATACGAGCTATTGGAATGGCGTTTCTGGAAAAGCAATACATCGCGGTCTGCTTCAATAAAAGAGATCGAGTATGCTGATTCACTCCACAGCACTCGGACGTTTTCATTTCGCTCCGCTAAGACCTAACAGTCCCGCTAGAGGATTCTCGAGCAAAGCTGGAGCATCGACGTTCCCGATTCCAAGTTCGTCTTTGAAGGAGTAGTTGTCCGCGGTCGAATGCTTAAAGTGAAAATATCGCGAAATGAAGAGCGTCCTCCGACGATAGTAAGCAAGCGTGATCTGCGCTCGCCCCGCCTGATGATGTGCGTCTGATTCGACTGCGTATTTCTCGAGAGGTAATGGGAGTCTGTGGTCTTCTTACACCTCGGAAAAGAACAGATGCCCACTCAATGAGCGTTCGGAGTTTTTGGGGGTATCGATATTCAGAAACCTTGAATGACCACTGCGGTTTTCTCTTCGGAGCTCGTTTCGAAACGAACCTCCTTGGGAGATCCATCCTCTATATTGAGGAATAAGAGCGTTCGGCTGCATTCCATGAAATAGCTTCGTCTCTGCCGCGAATCGTCCTAATGACATGTTTTCGAAGCCGCCTCGGGTGAGCATGATATCTGGATGGATGTCGATCCCGGGACTCGGGGTCGTATGCGGAGCTCACGGAGCTTGAAGGAAGCAGACGGAGGTCTGTTTCGGAGCAGCTTGGAAAAACCAATACGGATTGTTCGTTCGTCAGATTTCGTTGTCACAAAATCTATCTCCGGAAAACAAGGAGGCTATCATCAGCTCATCGGTCTTCGCGGGACTCACAGCGTCCGGGATTGAATGTCGGAGGGCGTTAGACGTTTTATTGCCGAGCGGAGTAGGATCCTGTCCTGCAATGCGCCAGCGAGATGAGTCACTTTGGTTGTTCGTCGCTCGAAGGTTCGTTCGGCTCGCTGGGAATCCGCAGCAGCGTTTCTGCTTCGAGTTGCTGGTTCTTATTCTCATCGTTGTCGCTGTCGTCGTTGTGACGATAGCACTAGCTGTTGCGGTGGTAGTAGAATCCATCCCATGGCACGGTGTTGGAGCAGCGAATTCGAGGGACTATTTGATATCGTTTGATTCGACGACGGTGGCTGCTGCGGCGGCGGAGTTCCCTCCAGAAGCTGGCATCATCCGAGTAACGCAGCCAGGCCGCTCGTCCAACTGCCCGGTCTGTTCCCTCCTGAGCCCATTCCACCCTCCGAGTTGTCACCCATAACTTTGACTATTTGTGTGCGTTCTGTGTTGAGGCTCACGCTCTCCCCGTAGGGATGTGTTTCGCTGGAGGGTTTTTCGCATGTTGGGATCACTGGTGGTGACTATTGGCTGCTACCAAGCTAAGGAAGCTCTGACTGTGAAAAAACCCCTCCCCCGGTCCTGTCTGCTCTGCTCGCTCGCTCACTCGCTCGTTCGTTCGCTTAGGACCGCGGAGAAGATCGAGCAAGATCAACCGAGCCAAGATCACGGTCGGCGCTTCGCATCGAATAATTTATACAGGCGCCTCCTACCTTGACTTGTTCAGTCTAACCACAAACTCCCGCCTGCTAGGCAGCCTGCCAGACTTCTCGAGTATTCGAATTCTGAAGATCAACTACTGAGCGAAGCAGACGCGTCTCTGTTGATGTTTTTGAGATACTCTCCGATCGATTCGCTACACAAGAATCCCGAGGTTCTCACGTCGAGTCGAGAAGTACCTGTTCCCGTCGTCGAAGGGAATCGCTTCGTGTCGGCGGGCTCGAGACGACTCTGGCTTGAAATTGGGCTCGGCACCCGACCTAGGCTGAGGATCTTTTGGTGTCCATAAAAAAATCGGGTAACATGCTCTCTGGCAGACGAATTGACAAACCGGTAGAGGTTGAGTCAATTTTTCTGTACCACAAACGGTGGAATTTCCGGGAGTCCAGCTTGAGTTCGATGGAGATCATCGGAATTCGGAATGCAGCCGGGAATGGGATTTCCTTCAAAATGGAAATCTTTATCATCCTCGTTCTCCCACCTATGAATCGCTTCCTGGGAATCGCGATCATTTTCGATGGATGATTCGTTAAGATTTCCGAATGGGAAACACCGCCGGGAATCGCGACGTGGAGAGCCCAATGCGTGGAGTCAGAAGCCGAAAATTCGAGTATATCTCATCCCTTTCTGCTCCAAAGTTCTCGCATTAAATTCTACGGGAGGTCGAAGAATTTTCCTGCAAAAGAGTTCCATCGAGGACTCGAGAACTCGAGACCCGGACTCTGCTCTCAGAGTCGAAAATTCTTCTCCTCTCTCCTGGTATCAGCGCGCCTCCGACCGGTGTGAGCACGGAGATCGAAAACAAAGTTCGGAACGGGATCGACCGCGTCCGAAGTCGCTGTGTCTTCGGGCGATTTCAGAGAAGTGTCGCCAAGAGGAGGACACAATCCGAAGACGGACACTTTCGACTGTTGTACCGACTCCGTTCCTCGAATGGTAGCTGAACTATCCACCGGGTGTCGAACGCCTACCCCGTCTGCCATTCATCGTCCATCTTCGTCCGCTCCCAATTAGATGCTGAAAAGCCGAAATATCTCACGCTTGTTAAAATGCGATGAGTCGCATGTCGTTCTGTGTCCTGACGACAATAAAACCAGCAGTGACGAATTCCTTTAATTGCTCGAGTGTCGCTCCGAAGCGAAGGGGCGTTCAAGAAACCTAGTCTCGGGTGCTGGTCATCAAGAAAGTTTTCAGTCCGATCTCCGATCGTCAATGCCCTTCGTCAATGGGACGTCCATCTCCCGGCGAGTCTAGCGTGGGTGAGAGAAGCTCGTGTCTCCCGATGCTGAGTGAGTCCGAAGCTTCCTGTAGGGATATTCCGGAGATGAGACGTGGACTCCATTGCCACGTGGTCGCGACCACGTGGAGCCTTCTCCAACGTCGTTCGGGGAGGAAGAAAGTCCCGCGGAGGCATAGTCTGTCTGGGGCAGCGCGGGATCTTTCTAAGCCGCGAGGAAGTTGCGAAAGCAGAAGGCGAGGGGCGGCTCTCACAGACGCGGAAGGAATCTCTGTCTCTCGCTTACGGCCTTAAGCAGCATGTATCACACGGAGACCTCCTTTTTCGCTCGTTCTGTTCTCGCCCCTACTCCCGCGGGAATTCGGTCCGTTGATTTTTCCCAGAGTTTCGTCTCGTGCCGCTCTCTCTCTTTATCGTAGCGTCACAATTATCGATGAGGATAATCACCCCTTCGGAGAGGGGGAAGAGCGAGATGTCGGATCGAGCGAAGCTTAAAATTCGTCAGTCGAGCGGGCGATGGACAAGTTTGTCGGGTAACGATGAGAATCGGTACACGGGATCGCCCGCGCCCGTAGAACACTGCGCAGACAGCAAAGTGGCAAATACCGAGACCTACAAAACCAGACCGCTAGAGAGGAAACGAACCGACGGGAAGGAGATCTGGGAGGGAAACTCCTCCTGTCCCAGCGGTCTTCTCGCTCTCTTCTTCCCTGTCTGGCCGTTCCTCTCCGATCGCTGTTCTCCTCCGTCGTCATTCCCCTCCGGTCGTCGTACTCTTGCTCTAGTTTCTATGTCTCGCGAAAGACTCTCTGTTCTCCTGTTTTCCTTCCGTCGGTCGGTATGGCGCTCGGCCCGTTCTACTCCCCATATATTTCTTTCCTCTCTTCTTTCTGTTCTCACCAGTGATGTAACCTCAACGCGTTCTCGTCCCAGACGGCGCCGGATATAGAGAGCGCGTTCTTTTTCCCCTGAGCCGTGCCATGCCGGGCAGGCGAACGGGCTGGCGGGATACCAGACAGAAAAGAGACCGACGGGAGGGAACGAGACCGTCGGAGGAAACAGGAGGCAAAGAGGGAAATGAGGGGCAGCTCGGGTGAGGAAGTGGGATCGTCGGCTCCAGCGGCCGCGGATAGAGAGAAGTACTTACAAGGCCAAGGCCAACATGAAGAGGGTATTCCCCGTTCGCGGCGTACGTTTGCCTCACGTTGCCGGGTCGGATGAACAAGCTCGACGTCAAAAATCGAGCGATTTATCCGATCGGAGCCAGCGTGCGAGAGGGATGCATCCTCAGCCAGGCCCGTGGGGATCGAATCGATCAGGCTCACGTCTTGCGATCATCGGCGTTGCGGGGATTATTTCTGAAATGTCGAATTACCTCGAGGATATCCATGTGGAGCTGCGAAATGAATTTCGCAATTCAGTCACGACGCGACGTTGCGACGGAAAGTATTGGGTGAAGAGGATTCTTCTCGGAGCGGATAAGAGCACGGCGCGGCATGTTTCGCACGTGGTATCTAGGTATCTAGCGAAGTCTGGGATATCCCTTCACCGGGCTCTTATTCCTGTGGCTCTCTCTCTTACCGTCGTTCTCCTTCCTGTTCTTCCCGTTCGTTGGCCGTTCTCGCTCAATATTCTCTCATTCCCCGCTTCCTCGTCCCTTCTTCCTCGGTTTTGTTGTTCTCCTTCCCCAGAGTCGTTTCCCATCCTTGTTCTCCTCGCTCTCGATGCCGCTCTCTGCCTTCGTTTCCCCTGCGGCCGGGGCTTCTGTCGCTGTCCCGTCGGTCGGTCGTGTTTTCCCTGCGGCAAGCGAGACGAGAAAAGGGACAGAAAGAGAGTCGATGGAGAGTTCATTCACCTCTCTTCGGCTCGCTCTTCTCTACTTTTCCCCTTCTTCTTTTCACCCCTCTTTCTTCTTCCCGCATCGCGGGCAGAAACTCCCATCCTGCGATGCAGTCAGTTCGCCATACAGCCGGTGAGGTAACACAGAGGGAAGTCCCGACCTTGAGGAAAACTGTACAGAGATGAGGGGTAGAGGTGAAGAGAGGGATCGAGCGGAGCGGACTTACAAGAGAACAATCGTGGGAGGAGCATACGAGCCGGAAGGGAGAGATCAGACCAAGGGATCGCGGAATATAGCGCGGAAAAGTGTTTCCGACGACGATTCCGGCGTTCTCGAAATTTCTCGCGTCGACAATCAATGACGTGTCGATTCGATCGAGCTTGTAATCTGAGGGGACGCTAGTATCAACCTCGACGTATCGGAGCACAAGATTCTATCGACTCCCCCATACCGTCGGAAAAGAGCTGGTTGGTCTTTCCATCTAAGATGATGCCCTGCAAAGCCTGAAAAATGTGAATGCGCGCCGTGGCCCCTCGATTGATGCGCTGACGTATATTACTCCTGGAATCGCCGGTTCTCAGGGCATTCTCTGGGTTGGGGGGGATCCTTGGGCGATGTTCCGTCGTCGATTGTGGGTTCAGCGGAATCTAACGTACGGCGAAGGAGCCGGCCCACCCATCGACCGTCCACGAAGATTGTTTCTCCTCGTCGACGTCGTCGAGCCAGCCAGCCAGCAAGCGAACCAACCAGCTTGCAGTCGAATTGGTATTTCATTTGGAAACGAACGAACGAGTGGGTCGGTGAGCGGCGGAACGAACGAACGAACGAACGAGCGAGCGAACCAAGAGTGGAAGTACAGAGGGAAGGACCACTGTAGGATCTGCCGCAGCAAACCCCGGTGCCGAAGCCAGACAGCCAACCAGCCAGCAGATGACTTCGCTCCGCGTAGCCCAGCTAATGGTTAATGCCCAACGGAACGGGAATCCTGTAATGGCTTTGCCGCTTGGCTTTCCCTTCCTTTCGACGTTTTCCCGTTCGTTCGTTCGTTCATTTGGTCGTCTGTCCGTCTCTCTGTCGGTCTGTGCGGTCGTTCGCTCGTCTGAGCGAGGCTCCCTACGTTCGCTTGCGTCGGTCGGTCTCGTCTGTCGAGCGCTTACGGAGGTTAGCCGCGTTCTTCGGGGAGGGGGAGACTAGCGGCTAATGCGAAGATAATTCGCGGGAATGAAAAAGAAAAACCACATTTTCCTTTTGTATGAGCCGCCTGCGTCATCAATTGTGACGATCGTGCCACTGAGCACAAATGCGATCCGAGCGTGACGGAAGGAGGAAGCTCTCACTGTCTCGAGATATTCGATGACGTCTCTATGGCACACCAGAGAACGTATGGAGATTCAAAATAAGAATTATACCCATGAAATTAGAACTATGGTCGAATTATTATTTATTACGGAGAAAATAAAATTTAATTTAATATATATATACAATAAGCCTAGACTTTCCCAGGACCCATGTGATGTGATCCAATCGCGGGATATTCCCAAGATCCGGCGAAGCCGTGCGCGTAGAATTAATCAGAGTAATTTTTACTTATTATTATTATTTCGAGCATGTGATGACCCGTCGTGTTCATTCTTTCCAGGTACTGGGAACCAATGACTTCAAGGCTTCCAATGGCTGGCTATACAAGTTCAAAGAGCGCCATGGATTCGTCATGAGCAGCAAAGCGGCTCAATCGAGTATGGGAATCGGAGCGCCCGCTCCGTCACACCCGCTTTCAACCCATAGTCACTCTGCCCCCCCATCGATGACCGCTCCTCAGCATTCCCCACCCGGACCTCCGATGGTACCGCCCAACGCGTGTCTTCCAAGCGAATATCCTCCACCAGCTTCAATAGCAGCTGTAGTTCCGCATCCGGGGATGCAGCAGCGAGGGGCACCGTCCTTAGCCTCAGCGATGCCTCCCCACCAGCAATTAGGTTCACTAGGACCCTCACCGATTCATCTGAGCGGCCACATGGCCCCTCCGCCACCTCCACCTCACACTCCGAGAGATCTCGTGACTCCACCTCCACTCGGTTCGTCCCAACAAATTCCTTCACTGGGTCCATCGCCGTTTCTACCACCTCCCCCCCAACACATAAGTCCGCCACCTGCGGTACAAACTCCTGGTAAACCTTCGCCCGACTACGAACTGGCAAACTATCACCAAGCCTTGAACGACTACGACCCTTCGAGAATCTATACAGTCAGCGAGACGTGTCTCTTGTTCAAGTGAGTGAGAAATTATGAGCTTGTCATTCCCAGCTGCATACGCTGCGTGGAACGAACCCTCGACGTATCGCTACGCATTCAATAAATTATTCCTCTCCCGTTTGCAGCAAGCTGCCACTTTCTGAACGAGATACCTTCTCGGACACCTTGAATGCCGAGTCGCGTATCACGGTTCTGCTTTGTGCCAATGCTGACGGAAGCCAAAAACTCCGGCCATTGGTCATAAACTCGCGTCGCGATGGTGAAGATTTCAATGAAAACAGAGACAAATTACCAGGTGAGCTCCGAGACTCCTTGATCGACGACCTACTCACACATGTATTTTTAAGATGGAGAAGGCTGAGGACGGACACGTTCGCCTGGGAGCCTCGGCTCCATTCACGCGCCTAACGGAATTCTCTTCCTTGCAGTGTCTTACGAGACTCAAAGATCCTCTTTCCTCACGGGGAAAATCTTCCAGCAGTGGATCTGGGAGCTGGAGAGGCGAGTCGATTACCCGTGCGTCCTATTGTTGGACACGAGTCCTGCTCATGTAAGTGTACGTAGTCAGAATTTTGTTTTATTTTCACTGATCAAAGCATGAGCATGTTTCCATTGACCCTCTCCGAATCTATCTCGAAATCGCCCGGAACCCCGCTCTGGTTCCGAGTTTCTTTTTTTCTTTCTCTCGAAGACGCGGCTTCCGCAGCCGGTGCTCGCTCCACTTGCCATCTGCGATGAAACCAATCCGATCAGATTTACATAATGACTTTTCCCGTTTTCTTGAAGCTCGTTTTCTCCTCCCGTCGTTGACTCGTAACGCTCTACGCGCAGCGTCTTCGGTTATATTTGCCTTCAGCATCGAATTGCGACTCGACTGATTGGATGGTGGCTGGAGCGATATTTTCCGAGAGGCTCAGCGTGTCTTTCTGTTTGTGCTCTCCATATCACCGCCGCTTGCTTTCCGCGAGCGGTCTTCCCCTCTCTCTCTCTCTATTCTTCCATTCCTGTGAAGACTCTCGATCGGCAACGCTGAGCGATATCGTTTGCCTACTTGCAGGTAAGCGTACAAAGTGACAAAATCAAGCTTCTGTTTCTTCAAAACTCGCTCCGTCAGCTGCAACCGCTCAATCAAGGTGCCATGACCGAGTTCAAGGCGCGGTATAAGGCCGAGATGATTTCTCACATCGAACAAAACTACAAGCAGTTAGGACAAAACAGTAATTGTAGTGGCGGAAACAGTAACGGAGTCTGGAACCTGACGCCTCCTGAGGCAATGTTGTCGTTTGTCGACGCACTCTACATCTTGAATCAAGCTTGGAAATCGCTAAGCAGAGAATCACTCCTCGAATCGTGGACCCGCTCACAGCTGCTTTCGGTAAGTCGGGGCGATGTCTCCGTCGGTTGCGAAGAAAATTGGAGAATTCTCGCGCTCACTGACCGGACCGGTCGAGACCGCGGGTCTCTCAGGGGGATCTAATTTCAAATTTGGAACTCCGCAGTTTCGGATGTACAATGGTCGTAAGGACATCGAAGAAGAAGCTATTCACGAGCTCAGTCAAGTGATGAAGGCGAGCAAAATCTGCTGCGGAGAATCCATCAGCAACGCGCAAGGCGCAGGCAGTCCTGTTGGCGGTTCTGAGTTGAGCCGAAAAGAAATCGTAGAATTTCTTCACTTGGACGATTCATTCCCAACCTCATACTCATTTTCCGAGGAAGCCTTTGAGAGTTCTCGAGCGCCTCAAGGCTACACTAATGAGGTGAGATTCTATTGAGCCCCCGTCCCCCTCCGCTTGGAAGCGGGGATTACCGGTATAATAAATTATTATTATTATTATTGCCTCGGCAGACCGTCGTCAGTCCCTCAGTTTAATCAGCAGCCATATCATTGACCCTCCCGAAACCCTCCCGCAGGCAATGGATACTGCTCTGATGCAGTACTACCACTTGCAACGTGCCCGACAACAGACGCCAGAGGAGATTCTATCGATGCTCGACACGATGGAGCGATTTTTCACTCATCAGGCACTCATCAGCTCCACAGACATCCTCGCCATCCATTCGCTGAGGTCCAAGACGTACCAGATCGCCAGTAACTACTACCCGCCGACAAGTAGCATGCTCTCGTCGGCGTCGTCGTTGGGAGTACCGCCTCCCGTAGTTTCGCCGCCGATGTCATCAACGCCACATGCACATCTGAGCCCACATTCGCAGTACACGCCGCCCTTGCTAACGGGACCTCCGTTAGTTCCCCATCAGCAACCCCCATATCCCGTTTCGTACTGACTGTCCCGATGAGGCTGCAGCCTGTCAATCAGCCAGTCAGTCGGGAGACCCAACCCGCCGGATGCCGTGGTCGGAGCAGCCCGGCCAGCCAAGCAGCCAGCTAGACCCAAGCGCCAGGTTTTCCCGCGGCGGAACCCACCGTATCCATATCAACTACTCAGGAAGGGACAAAATCAACATATCAACAAGCAGCTGCGGATCATGCACGATCGAACGGAACATTGGCCTCGGAAAGCCTCGCTTAGGATTTTAAAGCGACATTGCGTTCGACTCCACGAAACCCCCGCTTACTGTCTCTCTCTGTTGAACCTTGTTCGTTGAATTTTTGCAGACTTTACTGACGAAGTTGTTTCGTTTCTGGCGAAAGTCTCGCGCTACGGTGCGCTCAATCCACGAGCGACAAAGTCGGAACGTTTGTTTCACCCGTTCCCGAATTTCTGACCGAAATTTCGAATCGTCTGTGATAATCGAAATCGCGTTCCATGAAGGTTTGACCGAGACGAGATGCGGACGCCTACCCGACCTCGGCCATGAAGCGTACCAGGTACCGGACTGAGTTTGCGCGAAGGTGCCAATAATCTACCTCCATGTGCCAAAGAGACATCTTTTACTGCATCGGCAACATCTTCAATCTGAAGCGACCCAATGCGTCACGACAAGAACTCCTGAACGAATCTATGCACTGAAAATAGACTCCGGCCGCAGTTCTTCAGCAGCAGTAGCAGCGGAAGCAACGATGGAACGAGAATGAGAAGAAGGAAAGAACAAGAGAAATCACCAACAACAGAGATCCCTCCCGAAAAACTTCCCCAGATACTATGTTTACAACATCATTAGAGCATACTTGATATACACTTCGACCGGAATACACGAGACAGACCACGGATACCGTGGAAATGTCGAGAACGAAGGATATCATCATCATCATCGACGACGGCGACATGAAGTTAGGGAAAAAGCCAAATGCAACCGCGACGGTACAAGTTCAGAGCTCCCTGCGCAGGCTTGCCTTCCTCATGAGTAGCGTAAAAACAATATATACATTATTATGTAATAATAATTATTACTATATATAACGCCTTGATCAGGGGTTGCGGTCCGTAAAGCAATATTCTCTCACTTTTCGTAGGACTGGTAGACGACTTGTGAGATCGTGTGAAATCGTCTTGTTTGCGAGGAGGTTGATTTGTTGGTCGGTTACCCCCTCCAACTCATGTAACAGACACGGTTGGATATCAACGAATTTTGCGTCGCTGAACCCGCTATTCGGAGACGGCGTTCGCTCATCTCTCCTGACGGAAGCAACTAGAGAGCCGGGGATCGTTTCTCGAGGCCCATCATTCTCGCCTCCCTTCGCCTCTGTTCAGCTTACGACAACTTCGGATAATAATGATTCCGCTGCGAATGATTATTATCATTGCAGCGTCGATATCAGACGATCAGTCCCCGATCCGAGGAGCTGGCAGAGGAAATTTCTCCAGCGGGAGTTATTCACTCGGGATTGACTTCCTCCAGAAGATTCGAATTCGAAGTTTCATCGCGGAACCTGGTCGCACCTCCGAGTCGAAAATCCTAAATGCCTCAAGCGGCGAAACCATGGAGTCGACTGAGCCACCTACTCCTGAAGAATCCGAAGCATCTCTCTCCCGCGGGAGGCTCCTAACTCGACTTTTGATCTCACGAACATCATAGTAAGAGCGATGGATTCCGGTTCGAATCGATCAGGTGAAGTCGGCTCCAGTGGAGTGGAGCCCCAGTTGAATTTACCAGGGATTCGATCATAGAAATCGTTAGGCAGGGGCCGTGGCTCCCCCGGTCCCGTAGGAGCAAATGGTGAACACCGTCACACCCGTGACATGGAACTGCATCTACAACAGCTCCGAGCGTGGTCAGTCGGTTGATGGGTATTGTAATAGACTTAGAGTTAGAGTAATAAGTTCGCTTACGGATGACAGGGTAGGCCTCCTGGTCCTTTGAGCTGGCCAGATCAGATCAACACAACAAACACAGTCTTTGGAACGATGCGTGACGCGACATGTTTGCTGCAAGAACGGCGAGTTTTCGAAGCGGTCGAAAATCGCCAAAATATTCGAAAATTTTCGAATATTCGAGCTGGGAATCAGAAACTAATCGATCGCATTCATTGTGTCGAAGCGAAGATATTCGACGCTAAACGGCAGCGTACCAACAGACTCTTGATTGCGGCTCACACGCTAAAGCGTCCGTTCCTGGGATGGTGGATACATATCGGAAGGAAAATAATCGAATGAGGAGTGAAATACATGCATTTAGGTCGAAGGCCTGCTAAGCAATAGAAAGCTGCTTCGGGGATGAGTTTTCGTTGAAAGTGCAGGAGCTCCCCCGCGGGAGTTACGCGCAATGTGTCCAATGTCTCCGGCTCCGAAGGGCCCTCCTATGCAAGAACCCCATCTGGTCTTTTAGCACCTTGTGGCAATCTGTCCCCGTGCCACTGATTCAGCTCAGCCAGAAGGGTACAATAAACGAACAAACTGCAACATATCATCGAAGTCTAAGATGACCGTAAATTGAGTCTATTCTTGGCGGTTGATACGCGACCGGAGAAGGAACGGGGGATGTCTTCCACGACGGGAAGCGCTCGATCCCGCCAGACAGTCCAGCCCTGGGTTTTTAGTTCCTCAATTGCGGAATGGTCGGAAGCAGGGAAACCCTGGAACCTGAAATCCCAATTCCTCGCGCCTTGCTCCGTAGGATCCCAGTGATCTGTCGGTAGATCTATCGAACCATCAAATCATCGATGGCACGCTGCCGATAGTCGGATGGGAGCGAGAAGAGCTTATAGTCAATTTACCTCAGCATACGTAATGTATCTAGTACCTTGTTGCGGCCGTCACCTTGCCGGCGGCACGCCATGCAATGTTAATACTGTGGTTACTAATGTTAGTAGATTTATGTAGATCAAGTCTATCCGTCGGTGTCGAGTCGTTGGTCGAACTGCCCGAGTACGAGGGAACAGAGCCTGAGTTGACGAGGCATTGCGTTCCTATGGGTCACGAAAGACCTCATGCTGACGAACACCAGGCGCGGCATATATGAGGTCTCGGCATCGAGACACCAACGACGGCGGTGACCACGGCGGCGTCGACATCGTCGGACTTCGACCAGAGTAGGTGATGCCGACTACGAGTTGCCTCAATGCAGCAGCAATAACCAACAAAGTAGATGGAGACTGATACATATAAGGCCAGCGACGGGGTGAGGGCAGTGAATCGATCAGAGACTTGCCGATGATATGGAAGGGGAGCGCAGATCGATGACGGTCCGCTCCCTCATCTTTTTCAACGAACATAGAAGAAGACAAGGAGGGAATAGCTTGAACACTGTATGAGAGATGAACTAACTTTCGCTTATGCAAGTTTGGATAATAATAATAATTCTCCTTCCTCATCACGACGACGTAACTCCTGGCCTGAGAACAGAATTGCGGAGGACGTGACTGCGACCGAATACGTGTGCGTAGCTTTGACTAGACTCTAGATCACTTGATAATAATTGAAGTTACCTGAATGGAACTGGTCTCTGAACTCGCTGCTCGGTCCTCGTCGCGGCCTCGAACAACTACATACATGAACAACGGCATTGGGAAAGCATGCAAGACATACCTACATATACACGGACACGATACAAGGAAACAGACGCGGTGGGCTGAGAAAAATATAAATATACAGAATTCATATCGACCGATGATGATCACCATGACAAAAATGGATACAATACGAATGATAGATAGATCGATGACGATGATACATACCAACCCCGAAAATAACTAATGATGATGATGATGATGATGATATTGATGATTGAGATGATGGGAACGATTATGATTGTATTCTACAGTAGTGAGTTACGATCCGTAACAGATCAACAAACAAAGTAAGAAATCATTACTTCAAATAAAACAAAATGATTCCATTTTGCCACATTTACTCGTTTTCTAACTCCTGGCTATTCTTGACTCGAATTCTCTAATCGCAGAGAGCGGTAGACCACTTGCTCTTCCGCTTTCGGAATTAGAAGGCCTATGTAGGAATTCTTCAGGAGATCTCCTCCGTCCTCGTCCCTCACGGTGCATGTAGGATAGGCACATCTTCTCTAGTGTTGGGGGGTCAGTGACCAGACCGCAGCGGACCGCGAGCCACGAGTTTTGATTCTCTCTGCTGAGCTGAGTGACTCAGCCCGATTTCAAGGTCTCGGCCATCGCCGACAAGGTATCGATTGTCTGGTCGGATTCCACGGAGCAGACGCACCCGGGAGGGGATAACGCGTGGAGCTCAGAGGAATATTCTCGTCGATAGCTCCCACGCGGAACCCTCTCGGGAAACCTGTCAGGAACCCTGACGCAGACCCTCACGGTAATCCCCCCTCTCCCCTCTGAACATAGCCGTCGGTGGAAATCTACCTCCGGAACGGAGTCCTGAAGATGAATTCACGTCTTACGCGTGGAATGCCAGCCACGCAGAACTCTGAACGATCTCGTTGGTCTGCCGCAGAATCGAGGGATAATACATTGCTGGATATCAGTCTCCCATGAGGTTGAACTGTTCTATCAGGGACTATCGAGGTGAGGGAGATGACGCGATCGAGAAGCTTGTCGAAGTCATCGGCTCGTCTCCCAGGTAAGATCCTCCACAAAATCTGCCGCAGTGTTTCACGGATACGCCCGACATTCAATGATGCGATCTCTGAGCCGGGATTCAGCAGTGGGAGCTTCAAGGGGCCTGGGCTGAGAAAATCGGCCAGCAAGTCAAATTTCGACAATTTATTTCTCTACTTTACAATACATACATTCACAGCCTTCCTCAAACGATACGCCCCCCTCCGGATTCTGTCCTGCTCTTATGTCCCGTATGGCATAGCGTATCTCGAGGAAAAACATTCCACGAGCACCGCTCGTTGCATCCGGTACATATCCGCTCACCATATATACTGGACGACCAATTTGGAATCAATGCCGGAGATCCGCGAGAACGTTCCTTTCATCCGCACGATTTCTTTCATGAACAATGTTCCAAATCATCTCTGGGGCCTCCGGGCAGGAGCCTTGCCGAACAAGGTTCAAACTAATTTAAATGCGGCCTCACGAGGCGGTGCACTCCGCCTTATCGCATTCTACCCCAAAATTTACAAGAATCGATAATGACCTCGAAGTTATTCGCGGATAAAAACTGTACACGGAAGATTCGCGCGGACACCTTGACTTTCGAGATGTCAATCGGAAGGATAGTACCTCCCGAAGGGTACCACCAATAAATCGAGGCCTGTGCGAGGAATTCGTTCCGGAGCTTAATCGACCAATTTTTCTCTATCATCGACTGGGGTTCCGATGAACTCGAATGTCGAGAGCAAGCTCCGCTCCGGTCTGAGGTGTCCGAAGTGAGACCCGAGTACGATGCTCCGTCTGCCGGATACCTCCCTTTCCCTGACGGGAATCACAGCATCATCGTGGTAATGCAGAAATTCATCGCGCAATCGCCAAGGCTACAATGTTTACTGCTTTCGCGGATATCCGTTGTGGCTTCACGGAGGCCGCCGTGTTGTTGTTGAGCGATGAGTGATCCGAGGAGTCGGGTGACGAGGGCGACTCCCATTGTGCCCCCAATGTTATATCTGAGAGGTTGTTGATGAAGTTCACGAGCTCTTTCGCAGTTCCCTCTCTCATCTTCGGCCACTTGACATTTCTGAAAAGAAGACAGCCATCGTCACCATGATACAGCCCCACTCCGCGTCGAGAGGGTGGTGGGCGCGGCATCACAATGATCTCGCGTTTCGGCGCGACACGTGGCGAAACTCAATGACGTCAAGATCGCAAAACTCACTTCGGCATCAATGAGCCTTTGCACGACATTTTCTGATGGGTCAAGGCGGAGCATAGTCTCTGTACGAGACAGATTCGAAGGTCGCAGTCGACATCGAGCTTGTTGATAAATCTTACCAAATATTCGATCGTCATCCGAGCTCCCTGAAGTCGGAAAGAGGAATCAGATAGAAGTCTTGGGAGTCTATGGTGAGCTCTCGACAACGGGTGTCCGTGATTTTCTCCTGATAGGAGGTGGATCTCGAGACTCGGTTGAGGAACCAACCGGGCTCGGAAAAATTCTCAGACCGCATGGAGAGCTTGCGGTCTCTCGCTCACCTTCGGGAGTCCCGGTAGCACGGCTGTCGGCTGATTGGGTTTGAGAACAATTTGAGCCAATTCTCTCGCCGTCAGAACCGGTTCGCTAAAACTGTTTTCAAGGAAACCCCATAGCAACGCGGACACCACACAAGGATTAGGCTCGTTCCGGAGTCGTTCCCAAGCACCTAGGAAAGAAAAGCGTGCGTCTGCTCCTCATTCCGAAGCGCTGATTTGTTTTCATCCCGAAGACCTCAACGTGGCTGAGATTTTGACGGAAAATCGCATACCTGGGTTCTCGTTGAGGGCCTTTTTGTACTTTTGCACGAATAACCAGAAAGAAGGCTGTAGGTCTTTATGCTGGAAGAGCATGCACTTGGCAACCACATTAGCGCTCATTCGACTCCGCGTAGCTTGCGAATGATGGCCGTTTTGTTCGTTTCTCGTATGTTGGTTCTCAAAAATACGCATTTCGTCGGACGAAGAGTCTTCAAGGCCATTATCTCGGTGGTCTGAGAGATTACCGTTAGCCTGAAGTAGATTCAATGAGCGTCCCATCGGTTCATTATCTCCGGACGGCGATGGAGAAACTTTGTTGTGCTTGTTCGAGAAGGGCAAGTGCAAACAGGATGAACTTGTCAGGCGTCCGCAGCCCGCTGGTGTTGCATGCTCTACTTCACGTACCGCCTTCGTGGACATCAGCTGCTGATAAATTACATTCTTCTCGAGCTGGCTCTGTTGGTCGTCGCTCGGATGTGCGTCTGAGGTTCGTCAAGAGAATAATTTTAGAAGAATTATCATCGATCGATCGATGAGAGCCACCCGCATTGTATCGGCACGTGCTTGTTTCGGACACGGCGGAGTTCCAAGAGCTACTCGATTCTAGAGTAATCCGCCTGAGAAGCAGCGGGGGAATTGAGTTGTTTCTCACCGATCGGGAATTCTTCAACGTCGCCTTCGCTCACGTCGGAGTCGCCTTCGTCATCTCCATCCGAAGAGTCCAAGTTGGAGTACAATCCCGCTGATTCGAGGAGACCTTTGAGGCCGGACACCATCAAGTCATCTGGCAGAACATCGACGAATTACGGACCAATCGGGACGCCGTCATCCAATGCAGCCTTCGTAGAGTCTACAAGCATCGCGTGTCCGGGGCTCTAGTCGTAAATCATCGCTTCCGGTCGAGGTCAATTAATCTACCTTCGTTTAATTGTTGTTGACTCGCAGCCGATGACGGCGCCGGTGTCGACGGCGAGGGCGTGGTCGCTGGTTTCCAAACGGTCGGGTCGTAGGTGTTACCAATAAAATCGTTGTAGAACGCCGTGAGCTCGCCGAGCTGAAAATTTTTCATTAGGCATCAATCATCGATTCTGGCCGCTTCGGGCTGCCTCCGAATAATTACGAAACCTTTGCGTACAGATAGAGTATGCTCGGGAGGCCGAGCTGGAGGCAACTCTGTTGATGACGTGTTCTATAGAACCATACGACGAGCTACAACTTTCCGATACGGTCTCAAATGATTCAGCTTATCGATCGGCGGAACTCAAGACTCAACAGCCGGAACGTCTCTTGACGGAACTCAAGACTCAACAGCCGGAACGTCTCTTGACGGAACTCGCGAATGCGCGGTCCGTAACGAATCGGAAGACTCTATATCCTGTCGTGGATATTCACACGCATCGCGTCCTCATTCCGGCATTTCGTCCCCTACGAGAAGACCGAGCGGGGCGTTGCTTCCGGTCACGATCTTATTCTATAATTATCTCGGAACTCCGGGAAAGCGATTCCCCGTAGGAACTCTAGGGAATTTCATCAACCCACCTCGATATTTTCGCTGTCATCCGAAGAAGCGGATATGGAATGGGATTGCAGCGGGGTCGCAAGCTGAAGTAAACGCTCGCAGCAATGGTATACCAATCTCGGTATGTACCTGCGCGAGACAGAGAATTCTCCATGAAATATCTGATTGAGCATCGCAGCCTCCCCACAGCTGACCACCCGAGCAGCGGTTCCATTCCGAATGATTGAAGTGCACCTACCGCAGATGCCTCTGTTCCAATCCATGTAGGACCTTGTTTTGGTCCTCCAGGCACTGCCACAGTGTATACGGCTTCTTCTTTTTGTCTCTGAAACGCGGTGACGAAATCCGGTTATTTCCCCGAGCTGGCATCATTTTCTGGAACCCGCAGGAGGCTCTCAATGGAGAACGCGCCCTGTTTCCGAATGTATTCGGATGGCAATGCAGGGCGGGTCTTCGAGCGCACTTCCCCCGAGTTCTTCGAGACGGTCTCGTAGACGGTTTGGTCGATATTGACGGTGTTTCGCTCGTCCGTTGACTCGGCGAAGGCCCATCGCAGCCTTCGAGCGGAGTCCGGGGTGGTCAATAAACACGATTTGAGGCTTTTCGGCGTCTCGTGCATTATGCGATATCCAATCGACTATCCGTGAGGCTCGAAACCGGCTGCAAACACCCGCGAGCCTCATCCGAGTTTCCCGGAGATTGTGAGTCATTGGTGTCCTTCTACCCATCAGATATCTCTCGTCAACGAACTCGTTAGGTAGCACTCACATTTGTCTTGGGAAGACCACGAAGAGAGGAAGCGCGTATTGAGCGAATTCTTGAACGCATAGGATTTGATCCGACGTCTGAATCGAGCCAGGTCGTTTGAGACGGACGTATCGAATTGCGTCATTCGCTCGGCACCGTAACCAGTATATCTGAAACGGGGGAAGTTTAGCGAACTCTCCCCAATAATCCTTCAGTGCTCGACGGAGTTGGGGAATTATCTCGAGAGACGAAGCTATCCCGAAGCCCACCAGTCGTCGTTTCCATCCTGGCTCAACTCCGAGCTGGAGATCGAGCGAGTATAGCACGGAATCAGCGAAGCTCAAACTCAAATTACGAACTCAGGATAGTTGTTCAATACTATCGATTTTGAAGATGTTCATCTCGAGGTCAGCGAGCGAGTCCACGAGCGATCGACTTCACTCGGAGCAGCGACCGTACGGCGAGAACATTCTGGGCTCCGCAACCGTGAAACCGACAAGCGATCCAGGAGCCTTCCCCCAATGCAGTCATGAAACGTTAGGCCCCCGCGGTGCGTGTCTCCAGAGACGAGCTAGCATTTTTCCAGGGGCAGAAAAACCCTCACCAGATAACAGGCGATCAGCACGCCGGTTCTTCCAAGCCCAGCATGGCAATGGACCGCAATTTTTCCCTGTCTCAAGCTGAAGGCCATAACCTTCACGATATCGAGGATGGTCCACTTTGGAAGCGTTCCGTAATCTTTCCAGGCGAAGTTATAGAAGTAAACTGCAACAAAAAAAAGGCGTATTTTTTTCAAAAGGCGGATTTGTCTCTTTCGGAAGTCCAAACGTTCCCCATTCGGCTCTCAGACTCTCCCCAAAGCCAATTCGGCGATGCTGAATCGATCAGACTCAACAAGAACGAGTCTTTCTACCCTTCTTGCGGTGCCAGTTTCCGAGCATAAGGGGACCCCACGAAAACTTAACGTGTAGTCGATTACTGAGTCCAGACTCTGATGCTGACTCGACGGTAAATCTGTTTGTGTCTGGAATTCTCGGGAAGCAGCGGAAAGCCGTCGACATCGCGCGGGACTCGATGAATTTCTCAGAAAATTCTCGAGGATCGATATAAGGTCACAGGGTGCTTCTTCAAGCACGACATACCCGACTCGCAGGCTAGGCTGGCCTCGGCTAGTCAGATTCGAATGTAGAACGCTCGCGCTCCTAATGGAAATGCAAGCGATCCCGTGACGAAATCTATCAGAAAATACCGAGCCAGAATCACCCTGTTTTAACAGCGGGAAACTCGATCCTCGGAGGCGCCTGTGTCGGAACGATCTTCCGAATTGATCGGTATCGACCCGGGTCTTTGATCCCATTGCTCTACTCCCGGACTGATACACTCTCTGACCGACGCAGAAAAATTTGATTCCCCGCGGGCTCATGGCCAGACAATTCCAGTGCAAAGCCCAAGTTTTCGATGCGCAAAAAACGTAAGCACCGTACCTTGATTTTCCATTAGCTGCAATGGTTTGTACGAAAACCCCTCGGGCTCGAGAGGCGGTCCACACGATGCGTGTTCCCCGGGCGTTTGCAAGTTGAACACGGCCATGATTCCACTGTCTTTAAATTGGCCGATAATATCGTAGCGGGAAATAAGCTTTGTGGTCGGTCGGGACATAGCCAGAATATCATCTGTGACCCTGTGAGGATCGAAGGAGATCATGTGAAAGCTGTGGACCCGTAAAGGTATTTGAGAGCTGTAGAATCGTTAGCGATTATATGACAACCTGCGGAGCGGCCCGAGTCCTCGATCGTTCCTGGGGACGTTGTTGACCGATCGAGATACCACGATAGGCGATTGGCCCAACTTAAAGCCTGAAAACTTCCTGTCCAGCGAATAAGCTCAGACTCGCGATCGAAGATCGATGATCACTCACCAATGCGAGAAAAGGCCTCTGATTGCGGCTTGCTGCTCGGGCCACGCGAAGCCCCCACAATATTTGCATCCTTTGCCTCCGCAGAAAACTTGACATTGGAGATCAGATGACGTCGTTTTCCGGAGCCGCTCCGAAATTGCATGGTAACTGCAGAGAGAGCGAGGCCTGAGAAGTCGAAGAAGACACCGTTCTCCCTGGAGCAAGGATTTCCTCGGGAACACAATCGATGAGCTAACGCACAGCTTCAGAATCCCCAAGATCGAGCTACTTCAGCTGAAGAGGGAGGGATTCCGAGTGTCAGGGAGTCAAAACTTTAGAAAATCCGCGGGTCCCTCTTGTTTTAGATCTGCGCTTCATTCCTGAATGAATTCCAATCCGGAGAACGAGATGGCATCGGTTGCAGCCGGCCGTGACGGTCAGGCTCCCGGATAAACGGCTAATCTTGCCTAATATGACCTAATATGACCGTGATTTCTCCCCATGAGAGAGACTTCACGGTGGATTTCCACGAAAAAACGCTCCCCCGACAGGATCACAGTCGCTACGTCGGAGAGCAAACATCGAAGACCACGAGAAAAAAATGTGCGACGGATAGTTACTCGTTCGCCCGGCTCGATGAGAACTATATGGGGACCAGCGAACGTTTCGCGGCGGTCGATACCTTTCGAAATTCGATGAGCCTTGTCCTACGCGACTCAATTGATTCATCGAACGCTATAGAAGAGAATCCAAAGGAACAACGGGTGAACGAGTACGGGCCGGTTGACAACAAAGACGTCTCTGACCAAGTTCGCCGCATCTCACCGCTGCCCAACTTGCTCAATCTAGCGATAGCCTGCTTGCATACCAAGTCATCAACTTGCGTGCCTGTGTGCCTCGGTCACGTACTCCAGCCTACCGCTACCCCAGAGCTCGACGCAAAGACTTCAAGGTGTGGATTCCAATGGCTACATATGTATTGTAGTGTTATGCAGAGCTCACAGAGCAGGCGCCAACGGCTTTCGGAGACGAGCCTTCCTCAATCACTGAGCGCTCTTTACTACATGAAGTTGGGAAAATCGCTTCAAGAAAATAAGATACCGTATACTTCGGCCGTTGATGGTCTGATTATGACCGTCGTCACGCTTCGATTATTCTTCGCGGTCAACAATATGCTCGTACGCCGGTCAAGCCCGTATGCTCTCGCGATATGAGCACTCCATAAGGTTTAGCGGCCGCGGATTTCGGGTGCGGTTTTGCGCCAGCTCCATCATGAGACAAAAAAGCAATCTCCAGCCACAAATACGCCTTGGATGTTCATACCGGGCTTTGAGTATCAAGGCAGGCACGGACGGGTCTATTTCTCTTCCTCCCTTCGTCATGGAAATCCTGGGCAGTCGGAGTCTGCGAGGGTAACTCTTGAACGTCCCGACTCCTTCAGGACGGCCAAGGACCTGATTTTCTTTCCGGATAACCAGCAAATTTCATGAACTGAACGTCTCCACACTAAGCATCCTCGTCATTAGGACTCTGGGAGAAAGCGAATGTCCCCGAAGCTTTCGGTGGATTTTTCGAGATGCAGTAGCGACCTTGGGAAATTCAATTGCCTAAGGAAGCGAGAGTTCGGATCACTGATTCGGAGTTCCCGAAAGGCTCCTCCATCGCGAAAGCTCCATGGAAATGGGAAGCGGAAGGCTGTGACAATCACTCTTGAGGAGCTCTCTTCCGGGTTGACATCGGAGCTACGCGGGAGGGTCTTAAGCATTCGACCGGAGATTCCTCATGCCTCAAATATATCGGCACCGAGGCTCCGATACGCTCTATCCACCGTGTCGGAGATGCAGGCATCTTTCTGTGACGGCAGCTTTTCGTACCCTCGGTATCCCAGACTTCCGGCTCTCGTCGCCGCAGATCTTAATAAATCGTAAGACATTCCGAACCTCAAGCTCATACTTGTTGCAGACACCGGTTGCGAGCATCTCGTACCGACACTCCCCATCAGGCTCTGGTCCCTCGTTAATGTTACCACATTGCCGGAACATGCATATATCGGACGTGCATTCACACGGGGGATAGACGAGTTGGAACGGCAGGTTTCCCGGATCTCCGTGTCGATGCCTTTCTGAAACTCTCTCTCTCTGCTCCTCCGAGGTTTCTTAATGTATCCTCTCCGACTGCTCCGACCACAAATTTAGGGGATTCGAAACGTCTCCGGTTCCCGCTCCCAGTCCTTCACCGGTCATTTCAAACGATTGTTGCGCGTCGATGACTTGTCAGAGCTCTAAGACTGGAATGACTCACTTGGCTAGAAAGGCCCGAATCTAGTTACACCACATAATCAGCGAGGTCTCGAAAACCCTGGCCTCAGCGGAAGGATCGAAGACGCCACGGATGCAACATATCCTTAGGAAACCACATTTGCCACCGGCACGGAGAAGCAGTAGTCACTTCCACGAAGGAAACCTAGGGCATTCCCAAATGATGTGAGCTGCCCATCGAGGTTGAGTGGGGAAATATTTTACCTTGGCGAAGGAGGCTCATCGGCCATGCTGCTAACCATGGTGCTTCAAGCCCCTCATCACGGCAAATCTCTGTCTGAAGGCGATTGCATGGCGGACTCAGGAGTCTGAATGAGCGAGGGTACTCTCACGGCGTTTCCATAGGAATCGCAATGCATTTGAGGGCAGCGACGTTTGAAAGGAAGGGTATCGCTCCACCGCGGGGCGTGGATGAGCTTTGAACGTCTCCGAATCGACAACCACCGCTCGTACCGGGCGAGCGTCAAAACTTGCGTGCGATAATATGAAAATTCATTCCCGAAAAGATAATTCATGGGCCTAAATCTCTTTATACATAAAATAGGCGATGAGGATTTGTCCGCTGCTATTAGGTCCCGAGTAGACGAAGGAATTTCGAGCTAGAGCTACAGAACTGGAACGGCATCGGAGTCGGTCGCCGCCCAGAGGTCGAAAAAGTCCGAATCCCGCGATTATTATTCACGCGAGCCGCGAGAAGCGAAAGTTTGTGTTTCGTTCCCTTGGAGTACATCGTAATTGGAGCAATTATGTGCATTTTGAGTTCCACTCCTGGGGCAACCTCTACGCGTGACTGAAATATATCGAAAGAGAATGAGGTTCTACCTGCTGGCTTGGATTAGCCCCCCTCTGCTTACGATCATCGACTGCGAGACATCACAGCCCTCGGTCTCTACTGACAGACGTGTCGACGAATGCCCTTTCCGGAATCATTTGGATGGATTTTTTTCGCGATGATGAGATTAGCGGAGCGAAAACGAAGCCCCGTCTGTGTCCCGGATCATCAGAATGCTCCAGAACGGCTCCAGAAATAGCTATCGGCGGCAGTGAGCGATGAAATGGTTATTGGATTGGTACATCGGGAATTATTGAACAAAGCCCCGCGAGGATGACACAGTTCGCGCTCACCAAATCGGGGATACTCAGTGGTGAGACGGAAGTCTAGAGCACGTGATCCGACGATTCGATGGTCGTTATCCGCTGATCAATTTTGATTGGGCCTTCGATAGCTGTGAAAACCTTCCTCCAGCCGCTCTCCGCATGATCGGTGGTCAAGTCCCCCTGAAACTTTTTTTTCTCGTACAAAGTCGATTATTCTCGGGCCTTGAACAGGGGTCCATGCGGAAGTTCTCTAGCGGTGTCACGTTGCTTCCGCCTCTAATCCGGAACCGAAAGTCGGCCAGGCGCCAGTAGTACGCGCCATGCCGTCCCTCTTCGAGGCTCTTTCAGGCCACGCGGAATCCCCTCTGCATCGCCGTTCATCAGCATGTTCCACCGTGAGCCGTTTTTGATCGCTTGTCCGGGAAGGTTTTCGTCAGCCGTTTCGCGCTGCTCGTTATTTATCCAAGGGAATAAAAATGGAAACGTGACATGCCACAATTCGACGCTCCGTGTAATTTCCATCCACGACCGTATGTATACGAAGCAAACGGATCTTCGTGGACACGCAGACTTCAGTCTTCTGGAACGCTCGGATCATAGATCACGTAATAGTTGTCCGGGGGCAGAGTCTGTGCCCTCGAGCTCTTCCTGACGGAGAAAACTGAGGGTCACCGGTACACGGATAGAGGTCTGATTCAGATAACGCTCGTGAGGGCCACACTCGCTCTCGACAAGGTCGAGGGCGCCCAACCAACAAAGCATTTATGTAACGAGTCGACCCCAGCATCCACGCCGGTCGCTCGCATGCTGTGGTTGAGCGATTTAGGAATGGAATACTGAATCACCTCGTTGCCGCGTCTCCGGTTAACTCCTAGAGGGTATTTCGCGAGGTGAAAATTCAAGCGAATTTCATGCTCGAGGTTTATTAAAGCCGTAACGTTGGATAGCGTTCTGTAAATATTAAGCAATGATAATATAATTGATCATCTGACTGCATGTTCTTGTGTGTTCGAATATGCATTTGGGTTTCTGATCGTCGTTGTGGTGCTGACCGTGGCTACAGGGTGAGTCGAAAACTGAAGTTCGCGGAAGTAGTGGCGCGATTTTCCGAGATGCTCTTCGGGAGGCGGCAGCGGCCCCGAATCCTCGCACTTGCGTTGTCCCGGTTGGTCTTCGGTTCGTGCGAGTCAGTTACGATAATGATGGGATATTGTTCTGTCCTTGAGTCATTACCTCGGTCTCCAAGCGGGCGTCGCGACCATTGAGCAGACCCATTCCGGCTCGGAGCGCGCTCTTCGCTCGTCGATGGAGCAGGCGGGTTCCAGTTCTGCTATAGTCGCAATGATCTCTCAGGCTTCGACCTCAGCAGATAGCAGAGCGAACAGATTCTCCCACGGCTTACGCAGTTTTTCGAATTGCTCCTCGATTATTATTATCAGACACAGCGCCCGCTAACGACTCCTACTTCGAACCTCAACTGAGGAATTGCGTCGACGGTTATCGTAGAGGCCCGTCCAGCCTGCAGGTTGCCCACAGCGCCACAGTTCCCGGCCTCAGCGTGGACAACTTCCGCTTTCGGCGCGCACGTAGCGGGGGCAGCCAGGAAGTTTCGCATTCGTGGCCTGCTCACAATGATCGATGCTGTGAGTCCTACCCTACGGACCTTGATCATGATCTCAGATTTGATCTCGCGCCCGAGATGCTCTTCACGCAATCGAGGGCTGAGAAGCTCCGCTGTCGCGTTCACTCAGCGCGGCTGTATCCGAGATGCCCCGACATGCTGCCATGTGTACTCGCATGAGCCTCCCTCTCTGCAGAACTGGCCAGCCGATTTCTCCCTTCAGAGCTGTTCTGCGTGAGCAGATGTCGCGCGTCACATTGAAGAGAGCTCGATTTCGATACTGTGTGGCGGTCGATGCCATCCACGCCGAGCAAAAGTCGTCGATGCAATTTTGAGACATATCATCTCTGGCAGGAGATCATTCTCTTATCTTAAAATGCAGTCGGGCAGGACCTGCCAATGATCGCGACGGCACGCCGCTTGACCCGGCTGCTAGGGTTAATAAATAAAGTTGCGTTTATTTGACAGCCATCAGATATTCAGAGACTGTTTCCGCTTGGAGGTCTGAAATCCGCATCCCGAAGATCGGATCGAGCATCGGAATATTTTCTCATCTTGTCTCCCTTATTCATCTGGTATTTTTGTCGGGAATGAGGGGCAGACAATGAACACTAGCTGAAATGCAGATCGCAGATGCTCAAATACATTCTCGCGCATGGTGTCTCGTGGATACTCGCCTAGTTCTGGGAGCCAAGCGGGATCAGGAGAGCTTCACAGCGATTCACCATCGAGCTCGCTCAGACCGCGAATATGTATCATCATGCCGGAGAAAGGAAGCAATACAAAATAAAACAGAGCGAGCTCAAGGTGCATCTCATCAAGGTTGGAAAGCATTTCCGTCATCCGGTGAATCCTGCCTCTCAGCAAAGAAGATCTTCTAACCTATCGAGCCTTGGGCTTCGGCTCTCCGTGTTTATCATGTTCATCCATGTTTTGAGCGATACGCCGCAAATAAATGGAGCACCACAATTTCCCCATAGGATCCGACTCAATCAGGTTCCATTCTATGACATAGAGCAGTAGTCCATCGAAAACATTGCACTCTCTCACGGATTCTCCGGGTGCACAGCGTCTTTGTACAATGAGCGGTCAGACTCATCCCAGCGAAACGGAATAGCCAACGAAGGTGGAGACGTATAATTTTACGTGGATTCTAAGATCGGTGAGCTCGCATCCTCAGTGTCTGATTGCGCGGGTCGATGTTGCTCCCTGATGGCGTAATGATATCGCTCCGCGCGCGAAATCGCACACACCGAGTCATTCGATCGAGATCCTGGTTTTACGAGAAGTTCGCTCTCCTCAGATTCATACGAGGCTACGTGGGACATCACCCTTGCCCATAATGGGCTCGATATCTTCGTTCAGGGAAATTTCGCGGCGAGGCGCGGATCTCGATGCCAGTGTGGAATGTTTTGATGTCGGACGACCGCGTTGCTCCTGAGCTACGGAACGACACATCATTCGAAACAAAAGCCGGAAGGTGAGGATTCGGAAAGCAACCTGAGAGTTTTACTCCCCGCTTAGCAGATAATAGTGAACAGTGCTGACAATCGTTATACGCGGGAAAATCTTTCGCTTTGCTATGTGCCACTGAGAAACTGGTGTGCCTGTTCTGAAAGGGACACTACAGCGGATAAGTCCAGGTTCGATATTCTTCATGTGACTAGGCTCCTCCTTTCCGTTCCGACTTGCAAGATCGGAATTTCCTCCAGAAATTCTTCGCTCACACGTGTACTCCCCTCCATTTCCTCTCCGAATGAGGTGCGGGATATGTAACGGTGCGAGAAAGAATCATCAAACATCGATCGTAGACTTTGATTCTCTAAGTGAGTCTCTCCTAAGTGTTCGGAATATATCGAGGATCATCAGCGGCGTGCTCGACCTCCAATATATTTCATGTCTTTCCATTCGTGTCCCGACGCTAATCGTGTCACCCAATGATATCGGCTCGGGATCAGCCGGGGAAATATTTCGGTGTCGAGGAGAGCGGCCAATACAAGAACATTGTCCGTCTCGCGAGCGCTCGAGATCCGGGAGAATGAGTCCCCAGTCTCCTACCCCTATTGAACTCTTACTTCTAACCCACAGATGCCGTTGGACGATCTCGTCACTTCGGTGGAGACATTCGTATGGCGACCTCCGCTGAAAGATGGTCGGGTAAGGTGTAATTTCTCGAAGCGCGATACTCTACCGAGATCTTCTTTTCGTTGGATTACATTGTCCCGGGATCCATTCGGTAATGGTTTTACACTCTAGGTGTGGCCTTTCGGGATCATCTATGCCGCTTGGGCGGGAATCCTCGGTCCCGGGTCCGAGTATGGTGTCCTTGCGCTACCGGCGATCATCGTTCTACAGGTGAGAGGTGGCCATCGGACGATGGAATACACCATCGACAATGTCACCTTCCGTGGAAGTACAGCATGGGATCTCACCAGAAGTATCCGCGATTGAGACTCTGAATTTCTCCAAACAGTATCGTAAAGATATCGTTATCGGAAGCGGATCTCGGCCGCCGGCCGCATAGGGTGAACTACTAAAGTTGCGTTTCAATTTCAGGCTCTCGTCTTCCTGGCAGTCCATTGGTCCGTCGATATTCGGCGAATACTGTGTTGCACAAGGGTAAGCATTGATTCCCATAAATCCTCCCTCGGGTCTGGTCGGATCTGTGAACAAAGCCGGATCCACAGCTATTGGGATATTAATATTTCTCGATTCCACCCGGAAGGTTCCAGCAGAAGAAGCCGAAACCTGTCTAGTTCGTCCAACCGAGAACAATGGCAGCGCGGAGTTCGTGAACCTCTGTAGAGACCGTCAGACTCGATATTTTATTTTCCAAGTAAGTCCTCCACCCATACGGGTACGCGGGAACTCCATTGCGTTTCTCCGAGAAGATCGTGTGTTGTGCCAGATTCAACATTGCGAGAGTCCCTTTTCGCAGAAAACTAAGTACATCCTGAAAGCAGAAACGTCGGAATTCGAGCCCCTCAGATACCCAATCGATAAACAGCTCTCAGACTACGTCAAAGCTGTCGGTGAGTCATCTTCGTTGTACAGCTCTTCAGAGCGAGGGGTAGCACTCGTGGCAGCTTTCTCGCCTCAGGAGGATATGGGTCCGTATTGAACCCTGGTAATTTTCTGACAGGCCTGGATGACGATCATGCGAACCACGGTAGGAGTCACTTTGGCATCAATCTCCTCAACATCGATGCTCCCGAATTCTGGCCTCTCTTCATTGAGAGGGCCACGGCACCATTCTTCGTCTTTCAAGTATGTCGGATTTCAGACGTTTCTCGAGTGCTCGAGACAACCTCGATGGAAGACATTTTCCCTAGATTTATTCGCGTAGGGCACGAGCAGAACTCCCTGACCTAGTTCCGAGCCTCATTTCCTTTCAGGTGTTCTGCGTCGGACTCTGGTGCTTGGACGAGTACTGGTACTATTCGTTATTCACTCTGATGATGCTGATCATGTTCGAATGCACACTGGTTCAACAAACCATGCGGAATTTATCTGAAATTCGACGTATGGCGGACTACTCATCTCCCCGGAAAATGCTCGCCTACCGGAATCGACGCTGGATCCAAATCTCTAGCCAGGAGCTCGTTCCAGGCGATTTGATATCGGTCACCCGTTCCGAGGACGCCCTGCCTTGCGACGTTCTACTCCTACGCGGAACGGCCGTTGTCGACGAATCGCTGCTCACTGGGGAATCTATACCTTTGATCAAGGAGGGACTCGATCAGACAGATAATTTTGAACGCCTACTCGACCTGCAGAGCGACACCAAGCTCCACGTTCTGTCCGGCGGGACGAAGGTCTTGCAGCATACAGGGCCGGGGAAGACTTCGGGTGGCGTGAAGCCGTCCGATAGCGGCTGCTTAGGGTACGTCCTGCGCACAGGATTCAGCACTTCACAGGGGAAACTGCTGCGAACCATCCTGTTCGGAGTGAAGAGGGTCACGGCGAACAACAAGGAAACGTTCGCCTTCATCATGTTCCTTCTCGTCTTCGCGATCGCAGCGGCCTCGTACGTCTGGACGAAAGGAGTTCAAGATCCGACCCGTAGCCGTTACAAGTTGATGTTGGAGTGCACCCTCATTCTAACGTCGGTGGTCCCGCCAGAGCTACCGATCGAGCTGTCTCTCGCTGTGAATTCCTCCCTGTTAGCTCTGGCGCGACTCGGGATCTTCTGCACAGAAGCGTTCAGGATACCGTTCGCCGGGAAGGTGAATATCTGCTGCTTCGATAAAACGGGAACCCTAACGTCCGACAAACTGCAAATCGACGGTGTTGCTCAAATCGGCGGGGACGTCGTACCCGCCAAAGACTCGTCGATCGAGACGCTACGGGTCATGGCGTCCTGCCATTCGCTCGTCCAGACGGATGCGGGACTAGTGGGGGATCCGCTGGAGAAGGCTACTCTCAGTTCGATCGAGTGGTCCGTGACGAAAAACGATGCCTGCACTCCCAACCGAGGGAAACAATTCGGAATGAAAATCCACCGCAGGTTCCACTTCAGCTCTGCGCTCGGCCGAATGTCTGTCATCACGTCTAGTCTCAAGCCCGTCATCGAGGTCGAGTACATCAGCACCGTGAAAGGCGCACCCGAGGTCTTGCGGTCGATGCTGAAGGAAGTACCCGACGGGTATGATGAAACCCACAGAGAACTTTCTTTTAACGGAGCCAGAGTTCTCGCATTGGCTTATAAAGAGCTCGGGGTTCTGGATAGCGCAAGGCTCCGGGAACTAACACGTGACGACGTGGAATCCCAGCTGATATTCTGTGGGTTCCTGGTCGTTAGCTGTCCGATCAAAAAAGACTCTCTGCAGGCCATTCGTCAGATCAAGCACTCGTCTCACCACGTGACAATCATCACTGGGGACGCGCCTCTCACCGCGTGTCATATAGCTAGGGAACTCGGTTTCGTGTCGAAACCGTGCCTCGTATTGGACCCGGTCGAGAAAAAGTGGACCGGTCATAACGCACCGAGCGTCGCTTTCGGGGAAATTCTACCCCTTGATCACGATTACTGCGTCACTGGAGACGGTCTCCAGATTTTCGAAGCCGTCTGCGGGGTTAAAGCCCTCGCGCACGTCAGGGTGTTCGCCAGGGTTCAGCCCAAGCAGAAAGAGTTCATCATCACCCGGCTCAATTCCATAGGATTGGTAACTTCTATGACAGGGGACGGAACCAATGACATGGGAGCACTGAAACACGCTCATATTGGCGTCGCGCTGCTCTCCGACGGACCGGCAAAACCCAAACCGATAAAGCCGCGTCCTAGACCCGAGCAACTTTTGCAGAGACTCCCGCCCCACGAGAGAACTCGAGCGAGTTTAGAGCAAATGCTGAAGGTGGGTTGAACATTCCGTTGTGCCCTGAATCGGCTGAGCCGGAGAAGAATTCCGAATTCGATATTCTGAGGTGACTTTGAATCTCTCCCCCGCAGGACCTGGAGCAAGAGGAAGCCGTTGAGGTGGTGAAGCTCGGTGATGCGTCTATCGCAGCTCCTTTCACGTATAAAGGCTCCTCTGTCGAATGCCTGTGTCACATTCTCAAACAAGGACGTTGTACCCTGGTCACCACGCTGCAGATGTTCAAAATCCTCGCGTTGAACGCGTTGATTCTTGCTTATTCCCAATCGGTGCTCTACCTCGACGGAATCAAATTTTCAGACTCTCAGGCCACACTGCAGGTATGACTGGATTCGATCCAAACTTCGCGTTCCGTACCAAGTTATGGTCGATGTTATATACTTGAGTGACACGAAGGGGATTCACTAGTCCTTCATCTTGACGGACGAAATCATGAGGATTCCCTGATTTCGGTCAGAGCTCTGAACATTTTTCCTCACGCAGGGACTCCTGTTAGCGGCGTGCTTCCTTTTCATCTCAAGATCGAAGCCGCTGGAGAAACTCTCCTCGAAACGACCTCTGGCAAACATATTCAACGCGTACACGTTGTTGACAGTGATGCTGCAGTTTGCGGTGCACCTGACGACTCTCGTTTATCTGACTGGTTTATACGAAGGCCTCAAGCCGAAGGAGGTGAAGGAAGACTCCAAGTTCGAGCCGTCTCTCCTAAACTCCACCGTTTATGTTCTCTCGATAGCCTTGCAAATTTCGACGTTCGCGGTTAACTACCGGTGAGTCATGAGTCAATCAATGATAGTCCCCTGGATCCAAAGTGGACGAGGCTCGTCTCAGGAGCATTACCTCGTGCAGAGATGGAGGGGTCTGGGAAGAACGGTATCGATTACGAGTATTTCAACTCATTTTCACATCTCAATGCAGAGGTCGACCCTTCATGGAAAGTCTTTGGGAGCACAAGCCTCTAATGTACGCCTTGGTGGTTCCAAGTCTCGTTGTGATGGCGCTGGTGAACAACCTGATGCCCGATCTCTCCGCGCAGCTGGAGCTTGTAAGTTTCCGCGGGATTGACCAATTCTGCGATTCGGGATGTGATTACCGACGGGTGACTTATCTCTACCCGTGGTGATGTAGAGAACGATTGTCTAGAAATCCAATCCTTCCAATGTTCAACGCATTTTCCAGGTGGAATTCCCGCCAGATCAGGGACAATTGATCCTAGGAACTCTGATAGCGGACTTCTTGGCAGCTTTGTGCATCGACAGAGCCTTGGCCGCGGTCTTGGCCCGAGGCGATGCCATCCCCTTACCGCGATTGAAGAAATGATCAGATATCAGTTTATCCACGACGGAGGTCCAAGAAAATTCTCCGCCCGCGCTACAGAAAACATCATGGAGAGAGAGCAGCGGAGACCTAGAATATGGTAGAGGACATTCTTTCCTCGTCGACTGCTCGATTCCGGGGCGCTCGACTGCGAGAGCGTCGTATTTGTGATAGATGGATCCAAGACGAGCAGTATGAAGATGCGCTGATCGCGTATTTTCGGGAATAGCTCCGGCGGAATCTCGGTTAAGCTCCCGTCGCGGACTCGCTCGGGAACTTTCCGACGAGCAATTAACGGAGCGAGTATTCGGAACCGTGTTTTAAAGTGTCTCGCCCAACCACAAACTAGATCAAGGATGTATTATATTCGAAAGCCTTTTTGGTATCCTCATAGTCTATGGTGAATGATGTGCATCGGAACAAGGGCAAACTCTGAAGAAGCTCGAGTCTTCATGGGGGTGTCCGCAAGGGACTCATTGGAGGCAGTGCCGTATGGATTTGCCTGATGTTCAATTAGGTTACATAAGCTAATATACGGATACTTGATTGGATGATTGACGGAATGGACGTCGGGGACAGCATGCCGAGCATTTTGTATCGCGCTGCTGTCCACGGGAATCGATTGGAGGATTCAGAGTACTGAGTCTCGGATGAAGTTGAATTAATATAAATCAGACGGAGATGATGATCGATCGATGCGAATATGAAGCTAATGTTTATCTTGGAAGCCGTGTGAAACCAATTGTATGGGAGATCTTCGTTCGAATAATTCAAACGTTATTTTTCCACCGAACGAGTAGAGAATAGAAACGCATTCAATGCATCATGCTGTTAGCGGCGTGAGCTTGGACGTTTAATTTATGAAGTTCATTAAAAGAAAATCTGCCCTGCATATCGCTCCGTCCTCCTTTCACATCATCGGTGAAGAGATTAAATTTTCCGGAGAAGCTTAGTCGAAGTGGCTCGCTACATCTCTCTCCGGTACCGGTTCTCCTCTTTCTCTTCCTTTTTCCTCAGTGGGACGCCAGCGTCCCTCAGTGGCACTCAGGTCAGAAGATCACGGCTGTGCCCCCTCCGAGCAAGCCGTCGAAAACCCGGATTTCTGAGTGATCTTATCCTGACTTGCATGAGAGACTCCGAAAGAAATTCTAACCGTACTCTTCACCTTCCCTTCTGCGACAGTCTTCCAAACTGATCTGTACGAGAAATGCGTCTGTTCTTGGATTTGGGGGGTTTCCCGTGTACTGGTTACGATCAATATGCATATCGAAATGTCGATCGTCACCTCATTCCTATCGAAAAGTATCAGATTACTATCCGAGCATCCTAATCCAACCAGGAGGCGCTGATCTGGTCACAACACTTGGCATTCGATCTACATGCCAAATGTTGTGACCAGATCACTTCCTACATCGCTGTTATTCTACCAATACGCATCGCTCCGTATTTTTCTGTGGTGACGTTAAATCTGAGGAAAGTATTACGGCAATGGCTGATGACGCGCAGACCTGGGATGTGGTATGACGCCAAGGACCGCGGACTCCGCGCGGCTTGCGTCGAGTGCCGTAAATGTCCACGGTTCCTCGAGACGGTTCTTCATCTGGAGTCTACAGGAGCTGCGAAGTAGCTTGAATTTCCGCTGTAGTTTTCGGCTAATTGAGGTTTTTTGTCCGCCTCACCTCTCTGAAGGCTCGGCAACTTCGAGATACTCGACTCAATTCCCCCAGTGAACTTGCGAGAGCTGTAGGACGAAGATGGGTGTTAGGTGTGGGAAGAAATATTTCAAGTTGCGTTCAGCGAGTCACGGCATGCGATCCGGCGCAGAAGCCAGGCTCAACGTCGGTCGTCAAGTCCGTCGACCCTCGAACGTCTGTCCATATCAGGTCCCGACGCTTGATTGACGTATGTGCGGAGAATCAGTGACGGACTCTCCGTGTGCTTCATTCTGCTTCCTTCAACTCTTTCCTCTTTTCCGTTTTCCTGGTGAAGATATTTTCCACGCTCGGAGAACTCGTAAGAGCTCCAGAAAAGGGAGGATCTGCCGGCGCACAGGAGTGAGCACTATCTCGCGGATCGTTTGTGCCTCGCGGTCTGAGTTTCGAGGGACGTGAAAATGGTGAGCTGAACTGCACGGATCGTGGAGAACTTTGTTGTTTCTACATGCGAAAAGCCGATGACCCCTCGATCTAAATGGTGCGACCAAGCACATTTTGCGGCGTAATATTCCGTCCAAGACGATTGTCTCTCGTAGAGACCTCCTCTTTCGCGGAAGCTCCGAGCCAGCTCTTTTCGGGGACCGAGCAGTCGGCGACATTGGTGTCATTGTTTGTATCGCCATCGGAAAAAAACTCGAGACTAGGCTCTCGATTGCCCGGGTCAAGTTCACGATTCGACCTGATATCTAAAGCCGGAGCTAATCGAAGCAACAGACACATTGTGAATTCCGACTCGAGGTCGATTCCTGTTGATAAACTTCTAGCCATGGCGAATGGAGCGCGAGATAAATCATTGAAGACCGAAAAAAGACGATCACGCTCTCCTCGCGGTTCAACTGAAAAATATCCACGATGAATCCCTATCTCGTTTCTGAAATTCGTCAATAAGGATCAGAGAGCCTGGATTCGGACATCGTCTAATAAGTTCATCTTGCAGCGAATCCCGTTCCTCCCGGAGGAGAATGTGAGATACACAGTGGTCGACGATGTCGCTGTCCGAGAGCTTTTCGTGTTTGCGGGAGGCGGGGCTCTCGTCGTTCTGTGGGTGGTCGTGATTGGTGCGGTTTACGCGAAGGTGAGTTTCGCAAAGTCACGATCTGACGCGAATCAGTAGACAGGTTGCGAGATCTTGCGAGAGGGGAAACCTCCCCCGGCCAAATGCATAGATTCAGTGCGATTCCCGCGATGATTTCGAGTTCTGGAACCGATCGGCAGCGCTGTGCCGAAGCGATTTTGGGTCTCCGGCATTAGAATGAAATAAAGAAGATGTCGATGTTTCCCAGGTATTCTACTCGCGGCGGAATTCGACGCAGCTTGAGCACAAGTTCTGCACCACAGCTCCGCCGCCAGCACAGCCGTCTGTCCTGGATGCAGTCAATGAAACGCGACGGAAGTCTCGCTCGAACTCTTTATTTAAAAATGTAAATCCATACAGTCTTATTCGTTACGAGTGATAGAACTATTCGCGTGATTCACTATCAGAGGAATAAAATCACATATGCGATGACGTCGAGGATGGCCGGGCCGGTGCGCACGCTAATCGACCGGATAGCTGGCACTTGAGCAATGAGGAAAGAACTCGACGGATAACCAAAGTCGACTTCACCATCGAAAACATCGCACCGACAGCGTGGCCAAACCTTGATCCCATTCATAAGCGGGATATTTCCACTGTGAATAGCAAAACACTCGCGAAGCTAATGATACGGAACGATGAAATATTTGTTGTTTACTGGTGAGGACGACTGACATAAAATCCCCATACACAAATGATCACCCACGAATTTCCATCTCCCCCGAACCCGGAATCAGGGGCTACGTTTTCTCCGATCCTTTAGCTGTATTTCATCCGTGGAGGAAACCGGGAAAGCCTGCATCGGGCCATCGGTCTCGGAACTTTCGGACGTACTGACGGGCGCATAAATTAAGTTCCCCGCAGAAGGAAAAACAATACTCGGGGATTCGGAATGGGAGGAAAGTCTGACCAGATGAGATTTCAGCTCTTCCATCTCGTTTGAGGAAAGACAGGCGGAAATCCGAGTTTTCAGATCGGTTCCAAGATGACCTCGAGAATGAACGTATCACTGGACGGTTTCTCCGTGCTCTGTGGATGGGAAAATGTATTTACGCTCGCACAAGAGAAAAGCAACCTGTTATCGGGGTACTTGCACCATGCGCAGTTTCGTGGAAATTCCTCGGAATTCTACGAAATCAGCCTAATTCGTTCCCCATCACCAAGATCGAGTCTACGAAAAACAGCCGTCATCGGGTTAGCCGGAGTAATCCTCAGCTCAAGGGTTTCACGGACAGTGGACAGTCTGGCTCAAGGCCGTCGTTAGACAACGGCGGTACATTGCCGACGGGCTGGAAGCCCCGATTGACAATCCCAATGCTATTGAGGATGTCGTTGTTGGGAAAAAGGCAAGTGAACGAACTTGAACCGGACACTCTCGCCTTCTCGAACGTACTCAACGAGTTTATCCAGGAACGGGGACGCCCACATTCTCACTAGATTCCTTTCACACCAATAGCAGCTCAAACGGCGATGAAAAGCGGAGTTGGGTTCAGAGTGTCTCGAGTACAGTGATCTTGCGACCACCTACCATGGCTCTAGAAGCAGGTATGTGGTAATCCGTTCCTCGTTCATTCTAAGAACGCATCGAGGATTCGAATGGTAGTTGGGTCGCGGTTCGGGGCTAGGCCCGAAATTCTGTGGGTTTCGATCAATTCAAATTGGAGGATGCTGGCAGCCAAGAGCGTACGGCGGGCGAAATTGGGGCTTACGATTCGAGACGGCGGAGGTTCTTTCCGGGTCGATTCAGAGCCTGGGAAGAGTTGGACTGAGTGAGCGAATTATCTTTAAAGTCGAGTGAGCACGATGAAAATATACCGCCGACTGCGAATAGTTCAAGTGGCCGCGATTGACCAATGCGGAGCGTGACTTGGATAATATTTCTCCACGAAGAATTCGCTCGCTTATTTTTAGCTCGCAAAACTTGTCCCCGAGATCGAGATTGATAAGCAATCGGAAATGTAACGACGATACAAGCGGGCTTGAGGTCACGCGTGATATTCTCCGAATCATCCGCAGTGAACCGTGAACAGACTCCGCTGCTCCTGGATCGAGACATTAGGACCCTCTTCTTTTGGGAGTCCGGCCTGAGCACGAAAAGCATGCACCGTGACAGCGACAAGGTTCCGCTCGTCGAACGTGGATCGATGCGGGCTCAAGAGCAGCTCGGAGGATTCCTAATCCTCCTCCTGGGTTCCCGGATTACCGTCCGTCAT